CTTATGTCAGCTAACATTTGCCGTCAGTCGAGGAAGGCGATGACAAGGCATAGGTGACACATTTCCTAATCATCTCAATCGATGTAACTTCACAGCCTCGTCGATTAATTTATCTTCACTCCTTCCCTAGCACTTCATCTGTATATATGTGTATATTTGGAATTGATAGTGTTCTCTGAGCTCCTTGGTTTAATTGCGGAGCTTTCATCGTCTTTCTGGACGACATCTTCAGCGCAGTATTTAGGATAAAGTGAAATGATTTAAATTTCTTCATGAGTCTCCCGGTAACCATCTTTAGATATTTATTGACCGTTTTCTATTGATTGGGATTTTAAACTTTCTGATCACCTCATTTACTTCTTATTAGTTGGTATATTTCATCTATATTAACGTGTTTATTAATTGCGTTTTCATTTGAGTGCCAGGCTTCTAGGAATTCTCTGGCACATTTGGTGTTTCCTCTGTTTAAGATCTTGACATTATCCCAATCAAATTGATGTCCATGATCGTCTGAATGTATTGATACTAAAGAATTTATATCATGTCTTTTCACGGCTGATTTGTGTTCCTGGATTCTTAGGGGACGCAATCAGCCGTGAAAAGACATGATATAAATTCTTTAGTATCAATACATTCAGACGATCATGGACATCAATTTGATTGGGATAATGTCAAGATCTTAAACAGAGGAAACACCAAATGTGCCAGAGAATTCCTAGAAGCCTGGTACTCAAATGAAAACGCAATTAATAAACACGTTAATATAGATGAAATATACCAACTAATAAGAAGTAAATCAGGTGATCAGAAAGTTTAAAATCCCAATCAATAGAAAACGGTCAATAAATATCTAAAGATGGTTACCGGGAGACTCATGAAGAAATTTAAATCATTTCACTTTATCCTAAATACTGCGCTGAAGATGTCGTCCAGAAAGACGATGAAAGCTCCGCAATTAAACCAAGGAGCTCAGAGAACACTATCAATTCCAAATCATCCACCTGAGTTACAAATCTTTTCTATTATATGTGTATATATTCGAAATGTATTCATGTCATGTGGTGTATTTCTCGATTAACTTTACTTTTGCTTCGTCTAGTCCCCGCGTAATATGTATCAGTGTCAAATGGCAAAACAGACAATGGGTCATTCTAGTTATACCTGGCGTAGTCGATCAGATGCTAAAGCCTATCGTCTGTTTACACCGCAAAGTCCTCTTGTTCGAACAAAAATGTATGTGAAATATGATGTAGATCATTATCCATTGGGATTTAATGCCATAGTCGCTGTGATGTCCTACACTGTAAGTGACTGTTTTGTTTTCAATCAACTTGACAAAAATCTAAATTCACCAGCAGTTTTAACATTTAGAACAACACATTTAAGCGAACAATATTGTTTTCAATTAGATCTCATCAGGCTTAACTCTTATATACATAAGTTTACGAATAAAATTCAAATATAAACCAATCATGGTGTTTTGTCTATAGGATAATAAGATGGTGCATATAAATTGTACAATTAGTCATAATAGTAATAATGATAATAATGGTCATAATAACAATGGTCTTATCAATAGTAAGATGAAAAAGTGAGGCAATCTGTGATAACACGAATAATGAAAAAAACAGCATGATTAAACAAACAAATGTTCAGATGAAAGTAGTCGATAAAGGCTAGTAAAAACAAATGGACTGATTAAGTAATGCTAGATTGTAAGGGATGGAAATGAAACACGTTTTTAATGAAGATGTGATAAGATTAAGGGATGATAAGAAAGGGGTTGAAAATGTAAAGAAGGGGTGATGTGGAAGTCATTAGTTAGTTATGTTTTAATAGGCCAAGCGAGGGAGGAATAATGGCTGTGGACGAACTTCTTTTGAATGCATAGTTTAGGTTTAATAGTTCGAATGCCTATCGCCTGTCTCAGCTGTGTGCAGTAAACGAATATGAAGTCTATTGGAAAGATTCGGTGGGGGTGCGATGAATTACTTCGAAGGCTCTCGTATTCTCCATTACATGACCACTATCAATTAGATGTGATAAAATTGAGCTGCGGATTGTTTTTGTCTGTCCTTTGCCAAACCACCACGATGGAGATGTTCACTAAGATGTTGACTAAGCTGTCTAGTAGTAGTGTGCTCAACATAACTGTCACCTCAGGTGCAGTTGAATTGATAAATGCACATAGATGCGGTAAAACTATCAAGCTTATCCTTCATTTGCGACCCAATCATTCATCGGTTAGAGAATGACAAACATAAGTAGGCTGCATAAAACGTTCTTCGTATTCTCCTGGAAAGTCATCAACCTGAAACCAATCTGGAAATCTTCGTCACTCAACATCAACAACAAAATTCATTCGGTTTTCAATACAAACGTCAAGTCAGTTCTCCTATACGGATCAGAAACTTGGTGGGTCACAAAGAATATTTCCAACAGCCTGTTCCAGACCTTAATCAACCAACAACTGTCTTCGCTCTATGCTGAAGATCAATCGGATGGCCGGGCCGGAAAGAATCACCAACAAGCACCAAACTATGGGAACAAACAAAACAGGAACCAATCGCCAACCAACAAATATGCAAGAGAAAGTGGAGATGGATTGAACACTCTGGCCTGAGGAGGCCGCTGGGTGACATCGCGCGCGCGTCAGGCCATCGCTCGAGTGGAGCACGAAAGAGAAGCGGCGAGTGAGTCGTCAGTGCAAGGGTGACATGGAGGAGATCGTGTGAAGAGGAGTTGAAAGAGTATGGACTAACATGGATGCAGGTGAAAAGTACAGCGGAAGACAGAAGCAAGCGGGGACGTGCATTTGAAGCGTTATGTTCCACTAGGAACCCATGGGAAGAATAATTATTGTTATGTCAGTATGAGTTGTAAAAGAGGAGTATTCGATGCAGTCTATTATTTTCAAGTTTGGAATCGTAGGTTTGCCGCCCCCCTTATTGGTTACTCTTGATTATTCTATTCCATTCTATCATTATTTCCTTGGGTTCCGAGTGGAACATAGGACTTCAAAAACACATCGCCACTTTCTTCCATTTTTTGCCATCCTCTTCAGCTGTCTAACTCCACGATTGTCCAGGGTGACTTGGAGGAGGTCACGTGAAGAGGAGATGAAGGCATGTGGGCAGACGTGGAGCCAGGTGGAAACTTTAGCAGAGAACCGAACGCAATGGAGACGCGTTCCTCTAGGAATTAAAGGAAATAATAATACATCCAAAAGATTTTTAAGACATTGAGTGCGATAAAGTTCAACAGCAAATAAATGCCTGGTTGAGAATTAACAAATACAAGTTACACTACTTACCAGAGATAAGTAGTATAAATTTTAACATAAAAGAAAGAAGGACAAAAAAAGGAAATAGGAAAATAAATAAACAAATACTATAGGTTCTGTGATTATTTCTGTGCACGTAAGCAACCAGTCATGGGAATACAATAATTTATTTGTGAAGTTGCAAAAAAAGTTCCTTCATTTCATGAAGACTTTATGTGCCCTAAGCACCCTCACCCTGCGAACTTTCTTTATATTGGGGGTTAAATTCGAATTTACTCACTCGTAGGCAAATGTATAATATTAATTATTGCATATTTCTCTACATTGTATATTTGAATTTGTATTTTGAAATAGGGTTATGATATGGAAGATGCTATGGTGATTAATAAAGCATCCTATGATCGTGGATTAGCTGGTGCATGTATATATAAATCAGAAGTTATTGATCTTTCAACGCTTACCAAGTCAGCATCTGCAAACAATCCTTTTCAAAAGAAGAAATCATCAGTCGCTGAACACTATTTTGGTAAGTTACGTGTTTTTCAAGTATACTGTGCTGTATAGTCTGTCTTTTTTTCTCTTTTGATTGTCGATAGTGTCATTCGATATCTCAATTAGGAGTGATTTATTGCCAGTCCGGACGCGATGGCTGTCATTTGTGCATTTCAGAGATGTGATTTATTGACTTAGGCACTCAATTGACAACCAGTGGATCATTGGTTCTCATTCCACTTTACCCTACTGAAGTTTGGTCAACTGATTATGATCAGTTTGCTCACAGCCTTGAACATGGATGATGTGTCCCAACCCAGTGGTTGGATTGTCAACGAACTCGCCTCGTAATATGGAAGTGCTGAGTTCGATTCGCAGTGTGAGGTTATGTGTGAGCACTGGTGTAGAGTTCGAGACTGAAACGTCTTCGATGGTTTTCTAACTGACGTGATCTAACTTTAAAAAAAAAACACTTTGACTTCACAGACGTGAATGGCCTTGTAAAGGCTCACTCCTGTAAATCGACACTTGAATATGTAAATTGAATATTCCCATAATTAATTCAGAACAAAATATTTAGAGCGAACAATTGTTGTTTCAATAAATTCTTCTTCAGGCTCTACACTTATAAATCCATTAATTTAAGCATACAATAGCCAACCAGTAAGTAAAGGCAAATTAGAATCATATCAGAAAGTGCAGTCGTAGCCCACTTGGTAGATACTGGACACTCGACAAAACCTGAGCGGGCGATCTTAGTTACTTATTGCGTTCCTGGTAATTTATCTAGAGAAGCTTGACTACGTCTTATATCAGTAGTTGAAGCGGTTGTAATTAATACCAGAAGACCATCTCTTTGCATACAGAAGTTCTGAAACTAGGCAAAGCAGCGGGACCTGATGGAATGACTCCAGAAGTATTTAAGTACGGTGGAGACAGCTTACTGGCTGGATTAACTGAGGTACTGGGCAGCGTCTGGGAATCAGAAGAAGTCCCATCGGGTTGGTGTAAATCACTGATTATCCCGATATACAAGAAGGGAGACAAGTCTTCCTGTGATGATCACAGAGGGATTAGCTTGACTAATATAGTATCTAAAGTCCTAGGCTCAATAATCATGCGTAGACTAAGTGGTGCTTGGGAGACACAAACATAAGAGAGCCAGGCAGGCTTTAGACCAGGAAGAGGGTGTATTGATCATATCTTCACCCTCCGACAGATTCTAGAACATAGGCATTCCTACCGGCGTCCAACAGTCATTATATTTCTTGAACTAAAGGCACCATTCGACTCTGTCGATCGAGAAGTCCTCTGGCGATGCTTGGCTGTAAAGGGAATTTCGAGAAAATATATTGCACTGATTAAGGCACTCACTCTACTCGTACTCATACAGCCAGGTGAGGGCTTACGGCGAGCTGTCATCTGAACTGATGACGACCAGTGGTGTCCGTCAAGGATGCCCATTATCTCCTTTTGTATTCAACTTCATCATAGATGTGTTAATGGACGTAACCCTAAGTGACTTCAGCGACTCAGGGATTGACTTGCTACCGGGGAATAATCTCGTTGACTTGGAATATGCAGACGATATAGTCCTTCTAGGCGAAGACGCTGACGAAATGCAGAGTCTTCTGAATACCTTGAGCTGCAATCTACGAATGTTTGGCATACGATTCGCTCCCGCCAAATGCAAGATGATGTTACAGGACTGGACTACATCGACGCCTAGTTTAAAAATAGGAAGTGAAGTGGTGGAGCACGTTGACCGCTTCACTTATTTGGGAAGTACCATCAGCCCCAACGCCAACGGGTTGATCTCTGACGAAATCTCAGCACGAATACAAGGGGCTCGTTTCGCATTTGCCAGTTTACGCCGACTCTGGCGTAGACGAGATGTTCGACTATCGACCAAAGGGCGGGTGTACTGCTCATCAGTCCGCCCCGTCCTCCTTTATGGCTGTGAGCGAGACCTGGCCACTGAGAGTGGAAGACATGAAAAGAGTGGCTAGCTGTCTTTGATCATAGGTGCCTGCGCTCTATTTCCCGTGTAAAGTGGCATAATAAGGTGAGCAACATTGAGGTTAGGCGTCGAGTTCTAGGTAAACAGGGGAAATCAATCGACGAAGTCGTGAAGCTACAAAGACTGAGATGGTTAGGACATGTGGTACGTATGCCAAACCATCGCCTCCCTCGACGAGCAATGTTAGCGGATATAGGGTCAGGCTGGAAAAAAGCTAGCGGCGGTCAAACAAAAACTTGGCCTCACCAGTCAATGAAATCCACAACAGTTGGTCTAAGCCACGTAGGAAGGTGTAGACTTCCAGGCTGGGGTCGTCGGGACGGTAAAAATCTATGGTTGGAAACAATTGGTGACATGGCTCAAAATCGTTCTCAGTGGCTAGCGCAGATGCATCCACTCCTTGTGACATATGATCTCCACCAATGAAACTGTTTTGTTTTTCTTTATTACTCCTTTGTCTCACACCTCTGCTCACTGTTTCTATTATGCTTTTCTTGTACTTTCTTCTCTTGCTTCGCGTGCTACACGTAGTGTGGCGACTTGAACTTCCGCACATTTGTGCAAAGTTCTATGTCGAAAACAGACAGACAGACATACAGATGAAATATGTCCAAACTCTTTGTTTACCTTGGCCTACAACAAAGCCAACAAATCTTCCATTAACACTATAAATTCCTTTCACAATTTTCTTTTCCTTCTTCTATTCCTCTGTTTCATTGACAAACATTCATTTTCGTTTTTTATGATTTCATGAACTTTCCTAACTTTTTTTTATTACCTTAGGTTTAAGTGGTGCTTTTCTAACTTGCTATCGTACTTAGAAAATCCGGTTCATTCGACTTCATTATATTCATTATGATTATTATTTGACAATAATTCATTCACCAATAGTGATTGTAATTTTACACCATATCATCGTTATTATTTTACAATCATTGTTATTGTTGTTATTTTGTAACATTGTATTCCGTTTTTTGGTTTTATCACAGGTTTTGCTGGTGATGTCGCCAATAAAGGCCTTGATATAGATGGTTTCCCACCGATTGGTAGTCGTTTAGAGCCTGGTGTCAGTTGGTTGTATGCTTATACGCATAGTGAAACGCAAAAGACTACTTTGGTCAAATATGAAGGCGGGGAACAAATTGCCTATGTTGATTCAATAACTCTCAATGGATCATGGAGTTCTGTAGGTTATTGATTTTTTTTTTCAATTCGTTCATTGTCATTTCTTGTTTAGCTTGGTTAAAAAAAAATTCATTGATTTTGTAGGGTGTAGTTCTTGTCATTGAGAATCTTTTCAAACTCTAGTTTTTGTATATATTTTCTGTTGTTGAAAACCGTATGTTGAATGACGCAGACAACTGTTTGGTTTCAGACGGAGCATATTACTTACTAAGCGATTAGGTTAAAGTTCAGTGAAACGATGTTTTCTCCAATTCCCATGAGAACTTCAGATGGTCTGTCTACAAACTTAAACCAAGCAACTAAAGGTGTTAATAAAACAGGATTCAATGATATAAGTATAAAACTTGGGTACTGTGGTGGTAGAGTATAACTACATTATGGATAAGATTTTATTTTGATAAAGTCTCACAATGCAGTGTTATACAGTAATATTAACTGATATGACCACATTTCGAGCACAAACTATTGCCACTCATAATCATATCAAGTCACTCACTCACTCACCCACTCACTCACTCATTCACTCACTCACTCACTCACTCACACAACTTTCTTCCTTCATTTATATACATGAGTGAAATTGATGATTAGACATTTGACTGAATAAAAATCAATATGGGAGAATGTACATTCAGAAATAATAATAATAATACGAGTGTTACTCATCAAATACAATCAGATGGGAAATAAGACGAGTGTTTTGATAGTCAAAATAAATAAGTAACTTGTTAGAATGTTGTGATGTGCGTGAATTGAATTGAAACAGAATCTTATAATTATTTATTATCCTCCTCTGATTCGACTGACTGACTGACTGACTGACTGGTGGTAATATTATCTTCCATATTTCTAGTATTTGCATTGAGTCATTTCTGTTGCATGTGTTGTGTTGGGTGTAGACTCAATGAACCAGGATTCAGTAATCAATTGTGAAACTAGTAATGATAACATAAATAAGAGAGAATATAAGTCATCTACTGTTATACCATATAACGAGGGAACATCTGAAACCCTACGTAGGATTCTTAATAAAGCAGGAATTAGAGTGGTGGCATTCAAACTCACAAACTCACTCAGGTAAGACAAACTCTGTAGGCTAAAGTACCCTGTAGGTTGACCCAATTAGAGAAAATAATATAATTTACAAAATACCCTGCAATGACTGTGAGGTCAACTACATAGGTGTAACTAGTAGGTCGGGGCTAGTCAGATTATTGAAATATAAGAATCTAGCTAACGTTAGAATGGTTGACCTCACTCGAGAAGATAAGTAATTTAGAAAAAAGCTCATTGATTGCACTCCATATATTAACACACAATCACACAATAGGGTTGGTGGGACAGAGTCAAATTTCTAATAAGTAACATAGGTAGGTGGAGCGCGCGAGAGATTGATTACTAAATTGTGGTTCATCGAGTCTACACCCAACACAACACATGCAACAGAAATGACTCAATGCAAATACCAGAGATATGTATGGAAGATATTATTACCACCAGTCAATCAGTCAAATCAGAAGAGGATAATAAATAATCTTAAATTGTGTTCTATTTCAATTCAATTCAATTCACGTACATTATAACATTCTAACAAGTTACATATTATGAGTATAAAAACACTCGTCTTATTTCCCATCTGACTGTAATTGATGAATAACACTCATATTATCATTATTATTTCTGAATGTACATTATCCCATATTGATTTTATTCAGTCAAATGTCTAATCACATCAATTCCACTCATGTATATAAATGAAGGAAGAGAGTTGTGTGAGTGAGTGACTTGATATGATTATGAGCAGTAATAATAAATTGTGCTCGAAAGGTGGTCATCAGTTAATATTACTGTATAGCCACACTGTGTGATTTATCAAAATAAAATGTTATCCAGGATTCAGTGAATTCATCAAATGTCGGTTAAATTACTTGATACTCTCTACATACAGGGACCGATATAAAATTAAGATAAAGTGCATTGCGGTTCAATTACATCACTTAAGTAAACAAACAAACAAACTAAACAATTAGTTGAATAAAAATTTATACAAGATGATAAAGTACATTCAGAAATAATAATAATAATATTAGTGTTATCAATCAAATTGGACTCGGTGGACCCAATTAAACAAAATTATATAGTTTACAAAATACGTTGCAATGACTGTGTGGTCAACTACATAGGTCAAACTAGTAGATCAGGATTTAATCAGATTACCTGTCAGAACATAAGAATTTGGCTAAGGTCAGAATGGTTGACCCCGAGGAGTTAAGTAATTTAGAAAATAACTCAGTAATCGCACTGCCTGTGTTAACACACAATGGGGTGAGAGAGGATTAAAATTCTAAGAAGTATTATGGTTAGGTGGAAGGCGAGAGAGAGGTGTTGATTACTGAATCCTTGTTCATCGAATCTACACTCAACACGTGCAATAGAAATGACTCATCGTCAATATCAGAGATTTGGAAAATACTACAACCAATCATTAAATCAAGAGATGGAAAATAATGGAATTATATAAACGAAGTTAGAAAGTTGTATGACTACCTAGCAATAAATTAAGCTCGAAACATGGTTATCATTAAATATTACTGTATAACACACTGTGAGACTTCATCAAAATAAATTTTACCCATAATGATATTATAATTTTCCTTAATTTCATATATTAAGTCCTCAAGGCGACAAAATTTATCTCTCAGAGAGCTGGTTGGTTTCAATGCCACCGTAATTCCAGCCTCACTGAGAATCCTACGTAAAGCCTCTTATAAAATTATATTTGTAAAATCTCAGCGATATTGAAATGAGTAATTCCAACGTTTCGTTCGTCAATCTGGTCCGAACTTCTTCAGGGAAATTAATCGAAATTAACATAACAGAGGTTTATATATAAAAGGAACATCTCTTATTTTTAAAAACACTTTGTCCAATCATGAGTCATAAAACAGGCATCAACATGTACAATAAACAAAATTGTATGAGTTGTGATCAAAATTCGACCTCAGACTTACAAATATTGATCTACCTTTGTTAAACACTTTAAACACAGTGTGTATGTGTGCGGATAAACAGTTGTAAAACAATGTCTTAACGTCTCCATAAGTAGATATAGACAGTCAGGAACTTTGATCAAGTATTATTAGTTAGTGATACATATCCATTCTTATTTATTAATCAGGATTTCCTATGCGTCAGCTAACATCACACCTTCATGTCTGTTCAAACTGTTAGTATCTAGAATCTTATGATTAGACGTATTTTCAAAATTATGGTGTTTAGGATTATAGTTTAGTTGAAGCACCCTGTCAAACTCATGACTTTGTCTTCTTTCTGAAAATTGAGCTGATTTATTCGACCTACTGGAGTTGTCAGTTGACTGGACAGCTACGGATTTAGGGTACGCATTCTGTTGCAGACAACGGAGAGTGGAAACACGATGATTGTGCCAATTACATAGTTTCTTTGTTAATTTAATTCGATTGCAAAATAAATCAAATGAACTGTAGTCAAGATTTGACAGAATAGTTCTAAAAAATTTGGGCGCCGAGTGAGAAGTAGACATTTGTAAAAAATTATATTTGTAAAATCTCAGCGATATTGAAATGAGTAATTCCAACGTTTCGTTCGTCATCAATCTGGTCCGAACTTCTTCAGGGAAATTAATCGAAATTAACATAACAGAGGTTTATATATAAAAGGAGCATCTCTTATTTTTAAAAACACTTTGTCCAATCATGAGTCATAAAACAGGCATCAACATGTACAATAAACAAAATTGTATGAGTTGTGATCAAAATTTGACCTCAGACTTACAAATATTGATCTACCTTTGTTAAACACTTTAAACACAGTGTGTATGTGTGCGCTGTGTTTAAAGTGTTTAACAAAGGTAGATCAATATTTGTAAGTCTGAGGTCAAATTTTGATCACAACTCATACAATTTTGTTTATTGCCATATGGTGTTATAAAATACCAGACCTGACAAGAATAAAAATTCGCATAAAGCCGGTCGGGTGTGAGGACAAATACTCGCCGAAGACATTGGCTAGCGGTTGCGCTATGTCGTGAATTGGCAGAAGTTAGAATTCAAGGACCATTGGATCGGGTCCCAGTGGCTTAATGGTATACGAGCTCACTGGCCTTGTAACCGGAAGGTCCTGGGTTCGACCCCCCTGTGGTGGGTGCGTACTGCTGAAGAGTCCCAAACTAGGCTGACGAAACAGCTCTCCAGTACTCCCAGGTTTTCCAATGGTTCTCTAACTCATGTCAGCTCATGATGAAATCCTGAAACCAATCAAATCCCTACAAACCATCACTTGAGTTATAGAACTATTGAAAGCTACCAGGGAGTACTGGACAGCTTTTTCTTTCGCCCTAGTTTGAGAATTATCGGCAGTACGCACCCACTGGGGTTGGAACCCCAGGACCTTCCAGTTAACAGGGCAAGCCACTGGGACCCGATTCAATGACCAGTCCATGAATTCTCACTTCTACCAATTCATGGCATTTATCGTGACCACCAACCAATATGTCGTCGGCGGGAAATCCATCCTCACACTTAACTGTTTTCACCTCACTGGTCACGACTTCTCACTGGAGGGTTTTCCGAAAGAAAGAAAAACAAAACAAGTATAGTTCTTCATCCTTCCATTTTCCCTTTTTTTTATTAGTTCTCTATTGGTTCATGTTGTTATTGTTTAACTGTCAATCTCTCCTTTCCTCTTTAATTTTTCAATCACTTTAGGCTACAATAACACTTCGTCTGCCTAGACCACCAGATATCGGTGATAAGTATAGTAGTCGTCATGGTCAAAAAGGCATTAACAGTTTGTTAATTCAATGTGAAGAAATGCCTTGGTCAACTACAAATGGTCTTATTCCTGATTTAATTTTTAATCCTCACGGTTTTCCAACACGTATGACAATGGGAATGATGATTGAATTTTTAGCTGGCAAGTCAGCTGCACTTACGGGTGAGGTGTTGTCTTCTTTTTTTTGATGATTATTCGTTTATCACTGTTACTGTTATGATATGATTTTTGATTTTGAATTTTTCCTTTGCTAAATTTAGAACATGAAGCAACAAGTATATTGATTGTTATGAATATCGGTTTAGATGTGTTCCTCGACTTGGGTGGTTTATGTTTGCGAAACTTTCATTTTCTATGTATGTGTACATTAGTTTGTCAAACAAAAAAATACAATTCAAGTGTTGGTTTGTAGGGTTTTGATTGGTTTCAGGATTTCACCATGAGCTGACATTAGTTAGAGAACCATTGGAAAATCTGTCAGGGAGTACTGGACAGCTGTTTCGTCAGGCTAGTTTGGGACTCTTGAGCAGTACGCACTCGCCGCACCTCACAAACCAACACTTGAATAACAATTAGATGCTCACTGGCGACTTGCTCTATTCACTTAGGTAGTTACCTGGGTTCCAGTGGGAAGTCGTGACCAGTAGGGTGCAGCGGGTCGGGTATGAGGACAAATACTCGCCACTGAAGACTTTGGCTAGCGGTCGCGCTATGTCGTGAATTGACAGAAGTTAGAATTCAAGGACCATTGGATCGAGTCCCAGTGGCTTAATGGTATACGAGCTCACTAGTCTTGTAACCGGAAGGTCCTGGGTTCGATTCCCGGTGAGTGCGTACTGATGAAGAGTCCCAGACTAGGACGAAACAGCTGTCCAGTACTCCCAGGTTTTCCAATGGTTCTCTAACTCATGTCAGCTCATGGTGAAAAATACAATTGGTTATGGTTATTTTAACTAAATAGGCGAAGATTGGTAGTTGGAATTACGTAATACGAAATTGGTCAAGAAAATTGGGTGTTAATGAAATTAGGGTAGTAAGTAACAAAGGTGATGAGTTGTCACAAGTAGTTGGTAAAAAAAGAGTTATGTAATAATATGAATAGTCTGTTGATTGAGTTTTACTCAGGATACACGAAATTACTTAAGAGCTCTAAGTGAGTACTAGGATTACAAACAATTAAAGAAACAGGCGAACAGGTTGTATCCTGAGTAAAACTCAATCATCAAACTATTCATATTATTACATAACTTCTTTTTTAACAACTATTTGTGACAACTCATCACCTTTGTTACTACCCTACTAATTTCATTAACAACCAATTTTCTTGACTGATTTTGTATTGCGTAACTCCGATTATCAATTTCCACCTGTTTATTTAAAATAACCATAACCAACTGTATTTTTGTTTGACAAACTTAATGTACACATACATACAAAATAACACACATATGTATATTTGCGATTGCACAGCTGAGAATATGAATTCACCGCCGAAAAGTGACTCTTCGCTGAACTACGTGTTTTGTTAGCAGATAAAAGACATTCAAGGAAAAAAATTTTCTTTACCGATGAAATCATCTTCAGAGGCCGGCTGTACACAGTCGTATTTATATTTACCAAAAATGTGTATAGTAGTCTATTACAGCCCACAAATGATCAATGGATGTGTGAAGAAGGATAACTATCACTTTGCACGGGCCATTTCAGTGTATGTTTATAGATTCACCTGCTCGTGTGAAGGTAGTTATACTGGCCGTACACACACAAAGCGCACACTTTCCAAACGCATCTCTGAACATTATCTGGTATAGTTGGTTAGCAAAAGGACAATGGAAAACAATTACTAGCTCAATTCTCACGCACTCAGGCCATGTAGCTTCACTAGAGTCGTCTTTCAAGATTATCTACAAGGTGAAGCCAAATGGTACAAAGGGAATGAGGTCTCGGCTTTTGTGTATGACGGAGGCGTTGGCGATTCATCAATACAACCCTGAACTCTGCATACAGATATATTTGCGGTTGTGCAGCTTAATGAATGAATTTACTACCGAAAAGAAAGACTCTTCTCTGAACTATGTGTTGTGTTTTCAATATAGCCTGGATGGGGATTTTCCATAAACTTTCATTTTCTGCATAAAACTATATACTACTGATTGATTGAGTGAGATGAGTAGTTGTATGCCACTTAAATCAACTACTGGTATGTGTTAGTGGTTCAGTATTTATTATGTACTCGTCGCCAAATTATTGTTATGGACTGGTCGAGAATTTAATAGTCCTGACGCAAGAAAGACGGAAATCAGAAGACCACTAGGTTTGCGATGATACTTCTATTTTCCAAAACACCAGGAGAATCAATGTGTCACGCAAGAGTGTGAGAACAAAAATATATGAATGTCCGAACAAGTGTGTGAGCGAATATTCAAAATGAACAAATCAATAGACAGTCTTAACATGATTGGCTAATTATAATGGAATATCGATCCATGTATACATTGTGAAATATAACCGACTGTCAAACAAACACATATATTATATGGATATATATCACCAAGAACAGACTATCAAGCAAAACACACATATTATATGGATAAATATAACCAAGGATAGACTGTCAAACAAAACACACATATTATATGGATATATATCAGTATTAGAATGCTGGCCAACCGCGCACGAGATGTGGGTTTGATTCTTGACCAACACACTACTATGCTTCGCTTGGCGCATAGTTAGCCTGGTAAAGCTGGAAGGTTGAGCTACTGTGAAGCTGGCAACCTCACCCAGTAAACGACGAAGTCATTGCTACTAAAAAGCTCCAAAGCTCAAGATTGTGGTCGCTGGAAACTCAAAAGCATTACATAAATATAATAATAAACCAATCAGTTGTGTACGCTAACCGGATCATTGCATGTGGTTTAATAGGATTTGTGAGGATTTTTAATTAATCCAGTGGTTAGATTTTCTTCATGAATCCAGCATCAGTTAGAGAGATCATTCAGAACCAAGAGGGTACTGGATTGGATGTGTCGTCCTACTTTGAGAGTCTAAAACAAGCAACAAAGCAGGATTTAATAATGGATTCATCAAATTTTGGCAGAATTCGTCAGCTGCTCAGTACTCTACAAACACGGATATATACACCTTTGGAAATATATTGGGAGGTATAAGACTGATAAGCAAATAAATTACTTGCAATTAGTCATGCAGAAAGACAAGTACGAATGTTTTCCAGGTCATGTTCAAATAGATAAGGGCTAAAGCGAGAGAGTATGAGTGATTGAAATTAAGATAAAATGCATTACACCTCAATTGCATCACTTGAATAAACAATTAGTCATTAGAGAATATATCAAGAATTGCAAACAGAGTAATATCAATAGTAATAGTTATAATAATAATAATGTTGAAGTGAGTTAAGATAATGCTATTGATAAAAGATAGTTTTAAATGAATCAAGAATAATAATGATAATAAGAGGTAGAATAGTAAATAAAACGTATTACCATGGTAAATTTTGAGTGACGACCATCTCCTTTTGTACACAGGGACCTGGTTTATAAACTCGAATCGCACAAGCCTCCTCGGCAATTGCAAGCATCTTCCTATTTCTTTGTCTTCTGACTGACAATAGTGATGAATGACTTGACAGCGTCGACATCATGTCCATAGTCCACAAGATGCTTCCTTGTTATTGAGGTATTTTGGCACTTTGTATTCAGCTGTTTTCAACCATTTCGGTAAGTGCTACATCATGTGAGTAGAAAATCGCCTTTCTGTACAACTTTTGTATTTGCTTCCACAAACACACTCAACTTGATGTGGACAGTTTGAAGTGTAGAGGATTGGCTACTAGTCTTTCCCAGATTGTTGAAGCACCCATGTGGTTGTGTTAAGGAATACAAGTTTGGCAGCACAATAAGTTCTCTTGATGGCTTTGTCGAGTCTTCGTCTAACCACTTCTAGTACGTCATTTCCTATGAATGGGTAGTAGTACTGGGGCTCATATCTTCAGAGAACTTATTATTAAACTTCTCTGGATATCCATTCTTAGATAAAATATCCCCCTATCTATTTGAACATGACCTGGAAAACATTCGCACCTGTCTTTCTTTCATGATTAATTCAATGTAGTTTATTTGCTTATCAGTCGTATATGTCCCAATGTGATTTCAAAAGTATATAATCCGTGTATGCAGAGTATTCAGCTAATGAGTTCAACCGAAATTTGATGAATTCATTAAATCCTGCTTTGGTGCTTGTTTTAAATTCGCATCGGGAAATAAATACTTTGAGAATCTTTGCAAGTGCGCACCCACCATCCGACCTGGGGATCAAACTCCAGGACATCCAAGCAACGAAACCAATTTTGTTGAACATTTTAGCCACTTGGGCTAGAATTCAGCGGCCTGTGTATTCTGATTTTTTTCAACTCGTTATATAGCACTGTGCCCTCACCTGTCTGTCTGTTTCCAACATAGAACTTTGCACCGATGTACAGCAGTTATAATCGTCGCACTCCATGGTGCCCTCATCAATGTCTCTTCGATAAACATCCATTTTCACCTTGACGTAGTGGAAACCAATTGTAACGACTTCTAACTGCAACTTTACGAAATCCATCCAGTAGGTATCTGTGAACCGGCGATTGGTATTCAGGTTATACGATTTGTAGGGATTTCGAATTAATTCCAATTGTTTGAATGCATGACGTCATTAAGTCACAATAAATAATTCATTGCAATGCTAGTCATACTATCACAGTGAGGCGTAGTTACATAGAACTGAGTAGAATGGGGATGTGTCATTAAAGGTCTGTTTTCCACAAAAACATTTTGATAATCCTCTATTTGTCTGTTATTTTTTTCTGGTTTTTCTTTCAGGTACTCGAGTTGATGCAACACCATTCCAATGGTCAGAAGATTCACCACCCTATGAAGATTATTGTCGTATATTAACTGATTGTGGATTCAACCATTGGGGTACAGAGACAATGATGTCTGGATCAACTGGACGTCAATTAGAAGCACAAATTTATATTGGAGTAGTTTATTATCAACGTTTAAGACACATGGTAGCTGATAAATACCAGGTAGGAATGACCGCCATTATTGCGCACTGTCTGTTTTAAATAGTGTATTTTTTGTATTGATTATCTGTTATTGAGACACAACTTTGGTACATTGTAGGCACCAAAAGATGCTACACACAAAATTGCATAGTTTGCACACTGTAGCTGGGGACGTCCAGATCGAGGCAGGTGGTTGTCTTAAAAGACCCTGTCTCCCCCCCCAGAGCCTTTAACTTGAAGTCTATTGCAAAAGGCAGTAGAGCTGCCTCATCCCATGGTTGTCGGTGACCTAAGAGGGTTCATACGCCATTTTATCGTTTGGAATTTTGAAGCTCATGTACACCATATAATTTAGGTTAGGGCTTCCCGACTCTCAGTTCATCTGTAAACGCCATACGTTCTCATTCGCGCTTTCACATTGTGAGGAGCATCACCGCCGAAATTAGAGTAGTAACAAAGGTGATGAGTTGTCACAAACAGTTTTTAAAAAAGACGTTATGTAATAATATGAATGGTTTGGTGATTGAGTTTTACTCAGGATACACACATAGGAACAAGGTAGAGAATGCGAAATCACGTATGAGTTCTAAGAATTATAAGCAATTAACGAACAGGCAAACAAACAAAATTAAGTCACCAAAAGTCAACGGAGTTGTTACCACGACAGTAGAAGTGGTTGAGTAATTCTCTTTTGTATGCACAGCTGTGGTTTTTCTATGTGAATGACCAGAGCTTCAGCACTACAAAGAAGACGAAACAGTATTGTTTTGCGTAGGTTATTCTTGACTCTGTAGATCACTTTGAAGCAGGAGGTGTTTGGTGAGATGGAATGATCCGTGTTAATCAGGTGTTCAATTATCTCACTCCTTATTGCGTACCACTATTGCCTTTTTTCAACCATGCTGGATAGTGTTCTTGAATCCTCTTGGACAGAGTGCGCGTCGAACGACCGATGTACTTGGCTGGCTCCACAGCAGCAGGTAAACTAATATATGCACATAGAAGTGGTCAGATGCAGGATCTTATCCTTGAGGCTTCTGCAGATCAGTGTGCGACTCGAGAAGACTATTCTTAGCGTTGATGCAAAGAATGTTCTTCTCAGAGATGATGTGATCCTTATCTTGAGAATGTCGCTTGTTAAATCTCCCTTGAAATCCAAGTTCATGTAGAGTTTCTTTTTCGGCACAGGTGAAGTTTCATTTCTCCAAATTCCTGGTTTAATATTTTTGTCAATGAATCTTATTGGGTATCCATTTTGGATGAAGATTTCTCTTAAAATATCTAATTCTGTTTCTAGAACCTCAGGACTACATATGCTTCGGATGTGGGTGGCAAGTGATTTAATAAAATTCCGCTTTTAAAGAATGGGTACCCAGCGCTATAGAAGCTTGTTAGTTGACCATTCCAATTAGCTTTTCTATGGATCGAACTTCTTAGACTCCCATCAGTTCTTCTTGTTAGTTCCACATCAAGAAACGGAATTTTAGATTCGTTTTCAATTTCAATAGTGAATTTTATTTTATTTTATTTTATTGATGGATGGCAACGGTTAAATGTCTTCAGCAGTAGATTGAGGTCATTATTGTTGCCACAAATAATGAATATGTTGTCTACGTATCTTCCATACAGTCGTAAATTGTCAATGCTTGGCTTTTGTGGACCTTTCTCGAGGCTTGCCACGAAGCAATCTGATAGTAGTAGATCCAATTTAGGGTTACGCATATGCATATTATCACTTACGGATACTTTTGAATATATAACTATAGAATTTGATGAGGAGGTGATCCTAAAGTCACTTAAAACCGAAGATGGCTATCATCATTATTATTAACTGGTCACTTCGCTTAGTCATATTTTTTCACTTTTTATATGCACAAAAACTTCTCCCCCTTTTTGATATAAGTATAAAACTTGGGCTCCCATTGGGTCCCATTCTGTCTGATTTCTTTCTAAGTAAGCTAGAAAATGGACCTCTGAACAACCTTATCAGTAAGTTCTCACTTTATTGCCGATATATGGATGATACCTTTATTCTTTGTGATAATGGTTCTGATACGAGTACAGTAATCACTGAATTCAATGAAGAACATTCGGCTATGAAATTCACATGCGAAGAGGAATGCCAAGACAGAATTGCCTTCCTGGATTTCCTACTTATAAGAAAACCAGATGGTAGCTTAAAAGAAATTTGCATAGAAAAAGTACTTGGACAGGACAATATACACACATTTTCATAGCTTCCTTCCTATCAAGTACAAAAGAAATTTAGTGAAGACCTTCAGCCACAGAGTTAGAGCTATATGCTCAGAAGAAGTAATTGAAGATGAATTAAGCATTGTAGTATATGATACTTGATCGAAAATGGCTATCCCGAAAAATTATCAAGAGACATATGGCAAAGAAAAAGGAGCACTCATTATCTGTAAAAAAAACAAGCCTCTTTATATACGACTACAAATTCATGGGCGATATACCAAGCGAGATAGTTGCGAAGAAATTAAGAAAATCAGTTCAAAGAACTTTTAATGCTGGCAAACTACATGTCTTATTCTCTTCACGACCGATGGTGATTCCTCGAATGAAAGATGAAGTACCTAGACTAGCCACTTCTAATTGCATCTATCAATCCAACTGCGCTTGTGGAGCCAGTTATATTGGCCGTTGCTCTAGGAACTTGATTTTTCGTGCTCTCTAGGGAACATCTCCCAGCATGGCTAAGTAAAGGTGTAGTGAAGACTATTAATAGCTCGATATTGGACCATCTGGTGCAAACAGGACACAAAGCCAGCTTAGATGAATCCTTCTCTATATTATAGCGGGTGCCAAATAAATTACCAAAAACATCGAAGCACCGCAGGCTCCAAACAGCAGAGGCTATTGCGATTCGCCTCAAACAACCAGCACTCTGTGTCCAAAAGAAGCAAGTCCAACCCTTACTATTGCCCTGGCCTTCAGTAGAAGCTATAAACTCATGAATTCATTGTACTATTATCTTTCCTAATCTTTCTGACATTCAGCTTATTCTATGTTGATGCGATTCAGCTGTAATCTATCAATAATATTATTGATTCGATGTTATTTAGACAGCAACATTAATGTCGTTTATAACACTAACTCATTCATTCATTCACTATAATGGATGGATATATAACTGTAGAGCCTGATGATGAAGGGGTTATCGAAAAGGGTATTCTTTGTTCAGTATCCATTCCTTTGAAAATTTTAATGGGCATTTTTAATCAATTTGAAGATTATTTAATATCCTCCTCTGTTTTGACTGACTGACTGATTGGTAGTAATAATATCTTCCACATCTCTGCTATTTGCATTGAGTCATTTCTGTTGCATGTGTTCAGTGTAGACTCAATGAACCGGGCAGGATTCAGTAATCAATCTCTCCCTATCTTCACCTATCTGTATTACTTAGTATTTTAACCCTCTCCCACTCACCCTATTGTGTGGTTGTGTGTTAATGCATGCAGTGAGATTGCTGATGACCTTTTTTCTAAATTGCTTATCTTCTCGGGGTCAACCATTCTTACCTTAGCTTAATTCTTATGTTCTAATAATCTCACTACTCACTACTTTTCGAGCACATCAACTCGAAGGTAGAGGCAATTCAATTCACTTATGAATTGGAAAGTTAGGAAGGGGAACTTCCAATGTTAGATTGCAACGTAAAAAGGAAAGAAGATGGGAAGCTAAACACTATTGTTTACAGAAAACCCACACATTCAAACAGATATTTGGATTTCCGATCATCCCATCCTGTCAGTAAAAATAGGATTAGTGAAATGTTTAAATGACAGAGCACAAAAACTAAGTAGTACCAAGGAAAATCTAAGACAGGAAGTGACACACACAAAAGAAGCCTTGAAACTTAATAATTACCCGGATAAATTAGTCAAGAAATATGTAAGTAAATGTAAAAATAAAATAAATAATGATAGCAGAGATAGTGATAATAATAATAATATTAATAACGACACCAGCAATAAGGAATGTAAATCGTCAACAATAATTCCATACAAAGAAGGAACCTCGGAAGCCTTACGCAGAATTCTTAACAAGCCAGGAATAAAAATGGCATTCAAACCCACAAACTCAATTAGAAACAAGCTTTGTCGGTTAAAGGATCCTGTAGAGCCATTAAAACAAAACAATTTAGTTTATCTAATACCCTGCAATGATTGTGAGGTCAAATACATAGGTCAAACTAGTAGAACAGGGGCAGTCAGACTAGCCGAACATAAAAACCTAGCTAAATCTAGATTGGTTGACCCGAATAAGATAAGAAATCTAGAGAGTAGTTCAGCTATAGCACTACATGCAGTTACACACAACCATACAATAGGACGGGATAGGATGACAGTTTTAAAATCTAATGTCACAGGATAAATGGAGGGAGAGATTGATAACAGAAGCTTTGTTTATCGAATCAACTGCAAATACATGTAATAGGAATGATTCAACACCTGTCCTAGATATATAGAAAATTCTACTGCCCATACGACAAATAGGAGAAGACAGAGAAAACTATAAAAATCAAATCTCGAAGTCGTGTGACAAAAATTGATATGATTATGAACAATAAATTGTGTTCGAAACGTCATCCAGTATACAATACTGTTTCACTGTGTGATACATTTAATAATCAAACTAATATGGAATTACTTAATACCACAGTGCCCAAGTTTTACACATATATTAACTCACTACTCTTGACCTACTAGTTTGACCTATGTAGTTGACCTTACTCACAGTCATTACAGGGTATTTTGTAAATTATATTATTTTGTTTAAGTGGGTCCACCTGGTCTTTTAGCCTACAGAGCTTGCCACCATCCTAACTTAGTGATAGGGAGTGAAGTGATAGAACATGTTGACCACTTCACCTACTTGGGAAGTTGTATTAGCACCAACGGACTGATTGGCGATGAAATCTCAGCACGGATCCGAAAAGCTCGAGCTGCTTTCGCTGACTTACACCATCTCTGGCGTAGGCGTGACATCCGGTTATCAACCAAGGGACGTGTGTACTGCTCATCAGTTCGCTCCGTCCTTCTCTATGGCTCTGAAACATGGCCAATACGCGTTGAAGACATGAAAAGGTTGACTGCTTTCGATCATAGATGTCTGCGATCTCTGTCTCACGTTAGGTGGTTTCACAAGATAAGTAATGTAGACGTTAGGCGTAGAGTGTTGGGCAAAGAGGGAAAATCAATCGACGAGGTTATAAAGTTACATAGACTAAGATGGCTAGGTCACGTGGTGCGCATGCCTAACCACCGCCTCCCCCGACGGGCATTGTTAGCTGATATAGGTTCAGGTTGGAAAAGAGCCAGTGGTGGCCAAACAAAAACATGGCATCAATCCATGAAATCCTTGACAGTTAAACTGAGTCAGGTAGGGAGATGCAGACTCCCGGGTTGGGGCCCTCGGGACTCTAGGAATCAATGGCTGGAGACAATAGGTGACATGGCTCAAAATCGTTGTCAATGGCGCAGATGTATTCAATCTCTGTAATCTTTCATATTCCTTTCTACCATTACCCATTCTGTTTCACTCCTATATTTGTCAAACTCTATTGATTCTCTCCACTCATCTTCTTGTCTACCTCTGTGTGCTATTTGGAAGGTGGCAACTCGAACTGGTGCACTTCGGTGACAAGTTCTATGTTGAATCCAGACAGACCATCCTAATTCCTGCTTTATTAGGAATCCTACGAAGGGTCTCAGATGTCCCCTCCTTATATGGTATAACAGTAGATGACTTGTATTCTCTCTTATTTATGTTATCACTACTAGTTTCACTATTATTTTTATTTTGCTTTTGGTTTTTTCTGATCCTCTTAATGAATTTTATAGGATAGGTAGTTATTTAACACCAACGCCTCTTCTATCTGTTTTAGTTCATTATTTAGGTCTTTTATTGTGCTACTCAGTGCAACTGCTCGGTTTACTAGACACTTAACTAAGGCTGTCTTCAAAGGCAGAATGCGTTGGTTTTTTATAAACGCCAGTGTGTAGTTTACCTTCTTCTATTCGTCTTATTTTACAATCTCTCCTTTTTCACGATTTTAGGTCCGTGCTGAAGGTCGTTTTGATGCGATACTTAGACAACCGATTAAAGGACGTAAAGTTGGCGGTGGTATTCGTCTCGGTGAAATGGAACGTGATTGTTTATTATCCCACGGAATAGTCTTCAGTTTACAGGATCGTTTAGTTGACTCGAACTGTGATAAAGTTAAGGTGGGTGGTACTTTTTGTTTTCACCTTTCTCACTTTCTTTTTTTAGCTCTGTGTTTCTTATCCGTGTTTTGCTTATAAAATGCGCAGTTTGACTTTCACAGTTCTTTGTGACCTCTGAAATCCTGATAAATTCTTCCACATAGTGCATACTACTAATAGGCTGAAATGAGTAGTTAGATACCATCCTTGCTAAATTGCTAATTTGATCCCATGTCATACCAGTTCGTTTAATTATAGATCTAGATTATTTTTGGATGGTTTTAGCTAATTCGACTCTATGAGTTGATTCAAACCGCGGATGGCTATACCGCTGATGAGCTTTTCCCTTAGCAGATGAAACAGCCATCCTGTGTTTGAATCTCTTCGATCTGACTAGCAAGCCATAATGGCGTTGATGTGAGTACTATTCAACAATTCATATCAATCAATCAATCAATAGTATATTATAGCATCATGTATTAATGCTTGCTTTCTAATTTGCCTTTTATGATATCATGCAGATCATGCACAGACACGCACACACATTGTAATCTAAAAATTGCCATTTTCAAACGTGACTGTGATGCATAGCAAACTTGCAAGTTATACAAGTTCAGATGATACTTAAATGGTCGGAGGCAATCGGCCACAGGAAGCCTTACCTGACCCAGGTTTCATGATAGTTGGCACTCATCAGCCAGCATGGCGTATCTGCCAGGAACTTGAAGGAATTCATCTCCCTTCTGAGATTCGAACTCACGTCACCTAATGCCGCCTACAGTCAGTCAGCACGAACCTAGATGAAAGGTTTCCTGCTGATTACCTCCAACCATCTGATATCATCAAATCAATGTGCACCATGATGGCGAACTACCTAGTGCCATGGTGGCCACATTGGGAGCCTGACTGATAGAATTCAGTCCGCATCAAAGAAAATACTGGCTGGACACGTTACACTAGTTAATAATGTCCATTCGAATTATGCAAGTTCTAAAAATCAGTCGTCAGTGACTTCACTGCTAAGGTCTCAATTCCTGATGAACAGATTTTAATGAACTGAATTCTTACCGGGTGATGACGATTGGTGGTAGGCTTGTTGTTTATGTGGCAATCCACGTTGTCTGTCTGTTTTCAACATAGAAATTTGCACAGATGTGCAGCAGTTCGAGTCGCCACACTTCACTCAGCACACAAAGCAACAGAAGAAAGTGGAAGAAATGCAAAACAGAGACAACAGACAGGGGTATGAGACAATAGGAATAGTAATAACGAAGAACAATAGAGTTTCATTGGAATAATTATAAGTCACAAGGAGTGGATGTATCTGCGCCACTGAGAACGATTTTGAGCCGTGTCAACAACTGTTTCCAAACATTGGTTTCTACCGTCCCGAGGAGTCCAACCAGCCAGTCAGGAAGTCTACACCTTCCTACGTGGCTTAGACTAATTGTTGTAGATTTCATTGACTGGTGAAGCCATGTTTTGGTTTGACCACCACTCGCAGCTCTTTTCCAACCTGACCCTATGTCAGCCAACATTGCCCATCGAGGAAGGCGATGACTAGGCATACGTACGAAACACATGTCCTAACCATCTCAGTCGATGTAACTTAGTAGCCGCGTCGATTGATTTTCCCTCCCTCTTTACCTTGCACTCGACCGTTTCCTAACCTCAATATTGCTCACCCTATTATACCACTTTACACACAGATAAAATGCAGGCACCTATGATTAAAGACAGCTAGCCTTTTTATGTCTTCCACTCTCAGTGGCCATATCTCACAGCGAGTCAAAAGAAGGACGGAGCGAACTGCTGAGCAGTACACACACCCTTTGCTCAAGAGACAGGCAGATATCACGTCTACTAAGCCAGAGACGGCGTAAACTGGCATATGCGAAACTAGCTTTCTGTATCCGTGCTGAAACTTCGTCAGCGATCAACCCGTTGGCAGCTTCCCAAATAGATGAGGTGGTCAACATACTCTACCACTTCACTCTTTATCTTCAAACTAACAGTCAATGTAGTCGAGTCCTGTAGTATCATCTTACTTTTGGCGGCAGGGAATCACATGCCAAACATTCGTAGATTGCAGCTCAAGGTGTTCAGAAGACTCTGATCTACTTTATCAGCGTCGTCACCCAGAAGGACTATATCGTCTGCATATTCCAAGTCAACGAGATTATTCCCATGTTGCAGCAAGGCAATCCCTGAAGTCACTTAGGGTGAAGACCATTAGTACATCTATAATGAAATTGAATAGAAACAGCGATAGTGGGCATCCCTGACGGACACCATTAGTTGTCACCACTTCAAATCACAACTCGCCATAAGTCCTCACCTGGCTGGTTGCATGTGTTCCAGTAGAGTGCCTTGATCTGTGCAATATATATTTTCTCAGCATTTCTTTTACAGCCAAGCCCACGTTATATATGTCTTTTGTCGTTTACCGAAATGGAGAGAAGATTATGTGAATGTGTTTGCATTACCGTTCTTTACTTTTCAGTCTATCGGTGTAATTCCTCTTTAAAAGGAGGCGTTGTTGTTTTAAGCATAGACGTTGATTGTCTTACATTTCATCAAACAAATCAAATCGACTGCTGGTGCTGTAGTAACTCTTCTCACCACAAGCTGCTTGTCTTCTATGTTATTACTACTGTTCCAATCGTCTCCATTATCTTAATCATAGTTTTGTCCTTATCTTCCTAATTGTGATTTCAAATGGTTTGCCAACTTCAGCGTATACAATTTCCTGGAAACCTCTTAGTTAGTAGTGTAATTCATCGGATTATCATTACTCGCAGTTACGATATATTATTGTACCTGGCTATTGAGAGTGGAAGACATTAAAAAACCGGCTAACTGTCTTTGAACATGGTTGTCTGCATTCTATCTCTTTTATGAAATGGTATAATAGGGTAAGCAATACTAAAGGTTAGGCGTTGAGTGCTAGGTAGTTAGGAGGGGAAGTCAATCAACGAGGCTGTGAAGCTACCTCGACTGAGATGGTAAAGATATGTGTTACGTATGCCTAGTCATTGCCTTCTTCGACCGTTGGGAAATGTCATCTGACTGACATAGGAAAACAGTCAATGGTGGTCAAACCAAAACATGGCCTCATTAGTCAATGAAATCCACAACAAATTAGTTTAAGCCAGTCGATCACGTAGGGAGGTGTAGACTTTCCGATTGGTTGGGGTCCTCGGGATGGTAAAAACCCATGCAAGCTGGAGACAGTTGGTGATATGCCTCGAAGTGATCGTTCTCAATGGCTGGTGCTGATGCACCCACTCCTTGTGTCTTATGATCCCCAATGAAACTATATTTTTCTTCGTTATTACTATTCCCTTTGTCGCTAATCCCTGTTTACTCTCTCTCTCTCTCTGTTTTGCTTTTTTTTACTTTCTTCTCTTGCTTTGTGTGCTAAGTGAAGTTTGGCGACTTGAACTGCTGCACATCGATGCAAAGTTCTCTATGTCGAAAGCAGTCAGTCATATATCATTGTGAGTAGACTAGTTCAGTCGACAGTGAAAATTATCGACGAGCAGATACGATACAACACTATGTTTGTGTGCATATCAACTCCCTTAATATACCTGTTTGATATCACCAGAGAATAGTTAGCCAGTCAACATAACTGGATTGGATCGTTCAAACCAGAGAGTATACTTTTGGGGATGAGTAACGTTGGGTATTGGTGTGTTGCTGACTGCAAATCGTACAAGAACAATCGAATGTAACATGGCAAAGTGTTAAATAAGAAGGATGCTTTGCTGTATACCTTCAGTCTAACGAATTGACTTTAGAAGAAGTGAAGGCCAGCACCCGATGTTAAATGATGATGAAGGCTGTAGGCTAATAATGTTAAGGAATTATTAACCTCTATAAATCTTCCTAAATGTCTTGGAAGTGTGTGGGCGGTTGTTACTTCCCCGTTACCCACACCGTCGAAGTTGGTTGGTTCTTCGGGTTACTGAAACAGAAAGAGGATTAGTGTTGCCTGGCAGCAGAGCCCAGGGGAAAACTACTTGAGGCCAACCGGTCACACACGACCTGTATGACATGGTTTCTTGGTTTGGTTCCGTATTAATAAACTTATCACCGGTTACGGACCACCGTAGGTGGGTTAACTCGGAATGTACAATTGCTTGGGTCGACCTTTCCTAACCTCGTCTGTCTCTCTCCAGAGTGGAGAGACAGCATAACTGCTGGTCATCTGAAGGAAACACCTCACTGCTGTTACATCCCTGTTCCCCAACAGTACGATTTCGCTCACAGACCCCCAGCATAGTGTAGAAAAAAATTCTCACACAATGGCGTTAACTGCTTTTAGCCTAATCGCTATCCTTGACAACCTTCCCGGTATGGCAGGACCTGCCACAACAATAGTTCCAGCCAGTGTAGCTTCTTGGTTCATTGTGATCTGCAAGCCTGAGACCACCACGTCAAGGTAGTAGCTATCGGTCGGACTAAGCCCTAATACTTTTATCAAAGTCTGATTAACAACTGAATAATAGTTCGAGCCCATCTTCATCACATTTTGACCGGTAATTTCGTTGTAGTTAATTATGTCTTTATCCTAAATTTCTTTTCACCTATTTCTTTTATTGAAGATGTTTGCTTGTTCTAAATGCGGTGGACTAATACACGCTGATTTAGTTCGAAATACTATTGGCACCACAACATCAGATCATTCAAATATTCCAACAGATTCAAATCAATGGTGTTGTCGATTATGTGACAGTGGTAATCAAGGCACATTGTCATCTTTTGGACAGAAAGAAAAGAGCACACTGAAATCTGTTCAAGTCTCAGCGGCATTCCGATATCTTACCTATGAATTGGCTTGTTTAAATGTAAAAACTCGATTGTCACTAGCTGATCTTGATTAACTTTTGTTAATAATAGAAAATTTTTTTTATTATATTCTATTGAAAGTTCTACTCGTGTTTTTCTTTGTCCCCTAGCAAGTAAAAACACAGTTTTTGTTTGTTCAGTGAAGAAACTTCTTTTCATCGGCTTCATTTTCAAGCTGTACAGTCGTATTTATAATACAGAAAAAGGTTATTAAGTGGCACTAAATAATTGCTCAGTCAATATACACATCATAAGTGATAAGAATAACGATAATTAAAATGTTATGAGGGGTAGATAGAGTTGAAGTGGATGGATTACAAAATTATTAAAGATTGTTTTATAAGTGAATTGATAACGAAAATGTCAAGTGTTGTCTAAATATTTTGAAAATTAGGAGTACGATTACGACAAGAATGAAGATGTGCAGTGAAGTGGAATGAATTCAAGTAGTAAAATAAAATAAAAACTTAAAACAACATTACTATGACCAAGGTAAAGAAAGGGGTTTGACAAAGCGTTTTTGAACACATAATTTAGGTTTCTGTTCATGTATATCTAGCTAAAGCTTCGGCTAGCTATGCATAAGTGAAGAAAACGTAAACTTTTGGAGCGATTCGATTTTGCCATGTAGATAACTTTGAAAAATGAATCACGTGAGGCTAAATGACCAGACTCTAACAGGTGATCACAAATAGACAACTTCTCAGTTCTACGTTCGCCTTTCATTAACCAAACCGGATAGTGTGTTCAGCTACACGTTTTCGGAGATTACGCTTACAACGTCCAATATAATCAGCTCCACACAAGAGCAGGTAAAAGAGTAAATGCACATAGATGTGGACATAAGCGGTAATCTATATATCCTTGACGCATTGTCTAATCATATTTCGGCTGGTAAAAACTAGGTGCTAGTCAGCTGTAGGAAAGGTGCGTTTAGATAAACGATTTTAATCAATTCCGAAATAGTGTCACCTTTAAATGCCAGACTCATAAACAGTTTTTTCTTTGGCACTGTGATTTTTCTAGGGTTGGATTCTTTCTTCATGTTACCTTCAATAAACTATTGTTAAGGAGATTTGATCGAAGGTTATCTAGTTTGCTATCGATTGTCAAGCAGTTTTTAACCAGCAGGTTGATTCGTGGTGTTTTTATTCCTTGGCGTTTTGTATGAAAAATTTGGCTTCAATCTTAAGTTTTGAAGTTATATTAGCAGTGGTGCTTTTTAGTTATACGGTGTTGCTGTTAACTGCACGACTAGCCTTCTCTTTTTCTCTCTGCTCGATTCCAATACCGTCTGAGCGGCGTCTAGGAGTTCGTCGGCCGTGGATCGTACCGCGGACTACCTGCATGGTTGGCGACTACTATACCCATGACTCGCGATTGGTATTAAGCTAACGTTAAATCATTATTTTCAAGTAACCATATTTTATATGACAAAAATATAGTCAACTTTTACGCATTAATTTGATTCCTTACATTCCAGATAAGATGTATGACTCCGAAATCTCAATAACGGTGGTGTTGTGTTTTTACGTGGTGGCTTTGATAGTCTTAGCTGCAGTCGTCTCTCCCTTTTTCAGGCCTACAATCTGCTGGCGAGACAGTCAAAGTTTATGGTAGCGCACTAGTTGGGAGTCGAACCCCGGCCATCTAAATCGCTGACGAGCCTTCTAATATCATTAAATCACTGATGTCTTCTGATTTCACTTTATACAATACATTAAAATCTCGTCCTATGTGTTAACTAGTCAAACATTGCAACACTATTCGGTTGTAAATGTAACTGCTGAGCCCTGACTAACCCAAGTTTTCGGAATCTAGGCACTGTCATTGGTGGTTCAATGGTCCAGGCCGCTCAAGTGGTCCGGGACTCTATCCCCCTGTCAACGCACTCCTGAACCACCCTTAGCCCCATATCCCACAGGTATCACTATCAACGGAAGGAATTTGAAAGAAGTCACTCCCATCACTTATCTAGGTAGTATCGTTTCAACTACAGGTGGACACGGATGAGGATCTCAAAAGCAGAGTCAGAAGGTCAAGGCAAACATTCATCATTTTGAAACCAGTTTGGAAATCTGCTGCACTCAGTATACAGAATAAAATTCGAATTCTCAACACCAATGTTAAGTCAGTTCTTCTACATGCTTCAGAAATTTGGCGCTCTACTCTTCAGAATGTTATGTACAGGTGCCTTCGGTCCACATTGAAGATCGTATTAGCCAGAAATGATTAACAACAAGGAACTCTGGGAAAGAACCGACTGCTCAAAAAGTACACCGAAAAAAATGATGATGGATCGGATACATGCTGAGGACACCGACAGGTGACGTTGCACGTCAAGCTCTCGAGTGGGAAATGACTGGTTGGAAGTCCGAAGGTGACATGGAGAGACATTGTCGTCGGCGTTTTAGTTCTAGAACTTTCTCCAACCACGGCACATAACGCAAAGGAGTAATTAATTACTATATGTGTAAAAATCAATTACCACTAGTAGATACTATCGTTTTAGTCATGCATACATACTAACTAAATTGGCCGTACTCGTAGTGTGGTGAGAACTGTCTGCTAGCCAAAATTGGTAGACAGCAGTTTACGGCAATGTTTACATTCGAAATCTTGGTCATGAGAAAAAAAAAGACAAATTCAACAACCAATCACAGTAGACTTTGCGTGGGCGGATACAATTCGCACATATGCCACCGGACTGTTTAAGAAACGGTCACAAGCAGTACAAAATAACCTTGAGCGAGAAGACAACCATTCAGAAGACGCTGTTTCTCTGTTAACAATAACACTAATAATAATAATGTACATAAAAGTTTATAAATATCGGTTGATTTTTTCAATCAGCGATCTGTTGCCTGGCCCTTGTCTTCTGTCGTTACAGTAGTGTCTATATTGTTGAATAACATTTAGTTAGAATTAGGTATTGTATTGTACAGTGTTGTACAGCTACAGTTTAAAGACTGCTCACTTCGAAAATTTCTATTACTATGAAATCAACCTTGCTTAGCCGGTAATTTTTTTATGTCATCTGATAGTAGAATTTTATATTCAATACAGTTTGTCTTTTGTCTTCCGGCTTCATTTCTCATTGATGAATTTTCACAAGAAACAGTTGAGGATTAGTTTGTCGTATTGTATTAATTATATGCGAATATCGAATTAATTCATCAGTTAGCTCAGATTGTGATAATCCTGTAAGTAGACAAAAAACAAAAAAGGAAGATGAGGAGAAATTAATACTGTCAATGGAAATTCTCACGTCGTACTGTGCGTGTGTGTGTGTGTGTGTTGTCACGCACTGACTCACAAACTGTAAAATTACATTCAAAAAACTCAATGAAATGTTACTCTCTTTTGTTGTTAATATTCCTCAGTAGGAATGATCCTTCGTATTATCATACCTTCGTTTTGAAGTATTGCAACTCTGTGATGTATTTCTTCACTTAAAACACAAACTTGGTACATCATCGACACCGCGTAGATTTGTCTCATAGTTTATACGAGGGTTGGGATAATGTCCGGACGCCCAGACTGAAGTAGATGACTGTCTTAAGGAGCTACCCGCGAACCTTTGACTTGAGGTCTAACCCATAAGACAGTGGAGCTACTTTCCTATGATTGATGGTGATCAAAATAGGTTCGTTTTCCATTGGTTCTTTTCGAACTCCACAGCTCGTGTACACCATAGTTTTGAAATTGGGGTTTTGCGGCTTCCCCAAGGTAGGCCTGCGTACCCACCAGTCGGGTTTTAAGCATCTGACTTTCGCTTTTGTGAGGAACATCCCCCCGTCGGGTAAAGACAGTGACTAGGATTTACGTGACAGAGGCTGTCAATACGAGGCCATTTGAGAGAGCATTTCGAGAGGTAAACCAAAATCTACCCATCCTCTGCTGTACCCGATGATTTATGATTTATGGGAGCTATAGCGGTTCAGTGGTGAAGGCCTCGCTCCAAGTACTGGACAACTGCTTCATCCTAGTTTCGGATTTATTGGCAGTACATACCTAGGACCTTCTGGTTACGAGTCAAGCTCGTCGTAGACCATTCAACCACTGGGACCCCGATTCAGTGATCAGCTCATAAATTCTAACTTCTACCAATACATGATTTTTAGCGCTACCGCTGACCAATGTTATCAACTAGTATTGATCTTCACTCCCAACCGGGTGGACTCCACTAGTCATGAATTCTCACTAGAACAGTTGTTTAGTGTTCCCTAGTTATCAATGGTTCTCTTTTCACTTATATCCAGTCCGTGATCAAACTTGACATAAGCTTAATACTCAGGGTTTTCGGAGGAAATATTATGTATATTATCGGTCAAACCATTATATTGATCTTCGGTGTCTACATTAAAGCATTTATACAATTGAATTTTTTCCATGCTTCTACTGTTTGCGGCTAAATATATACTTAGCACTACCGCTTCGAATGTCTAAAAGAGGTTTTGAGGAATTTCAAATTAAAATTGTTTTACGGTAATATTCCCGTTACCCAACAAAATAGATATTACAGGATTTCATCATGAGCTGACATTAGTTAGAGAACCATTGGCTTTCGTTAACTTACGCCATCTCTGGCGTAGGCGTGACATCCGGCTATCAACCAAGGGACGTGTGTACCGCTCATCAGTTCGCTCCGTCCTTCGCTATGGCTCTGAAACATGGCCAATACGTGTTGAAAACATGAAAACGTTGACTGCCTTCGATCATAGATGTCTGCGGTCTCTTTCTCACGTTAGGTGGTTTAATAAGGTAAGTAATGTTGACGTTAGGCGTAGAGTGTTGGGCAAAGAGGGAAAATCAATCGACGAGGTTTTAAAGCTACATAGATTGAGATGGCTAGTTCAGGTGCTGCATATTCCTAACCATCGCCTCCCCCGCCAACGGGCATTACTAGCTGATATAGGTGCAGGTTGGAAAAGAGTAAGTGGTGGCCAAACAAAAACATGGCTTCATCAATCCATGAAATCCTCGACAGTTAAACTGAGTCAGGTAGGGAGATTCAGACTTCCGGGTTGGGGCCCTTGGGACTCTAGGAATCAATGGCTGGAGACAATAGGTGACATGGCTCAAAATCGTTGTCAATGGCCAGCGCAGATGTATTCGGTCTCTGTAATCTTTCATATTCCTTTCAACCATTATCCATGCTGTTTCACTCTTATACTTGTCAAACTCTATTGATTCTCTTCACTCATCTTCTTGTCTACTTTTGCGTGCTATTTGGAACGTGGCAACTCGAACTGGTGCACTTCAGTGACAAGTTCTATATTGAATCCAGACAGACAGAAAACCATTGGAAAACATGCGAGCACTGTACAGCTGTTGCATCCCAGTTTGGGACTCTTCATCAGCACGCACCCACCACAGGGGGTTCGAACCCAGGACCTTCTGGTTGCAAGGCGAGCTCGTAGACCATTAAGCCACTGGGACCCGATCCGATGGCCCATGAATTCTAACTTCTGCTAATTCACGACATAGTGTGACCCCTAGCTAATGTCTTCGACAACACTTAAATATCGATGAGATGCCCGCTGGCGACTTGCCCTATTCGGGTAAGTAGTTACCTGGGGTTCTAGTGAGAAGTCGTAACCAGTAAGATGCAGCAGGGCGAGTGTGAGAACAAATACTCGCCGAAGACATTGGCTAGCGGTTGCGCTATGTCGTGAATTGAGAGAAGTTAGAATTCATGGGCTGGTCATTGGATTGGGTCCCAGTGGCTTAATGGTATACGAGCTCACTAGTCTTGTAACCGGAAGGTCCTGGGTTCGAACCCCGGTGGGTGCGTACTGATGAAGAGTCCCAAAATAGGCAGGCGAAACAGCTCTCCAGTACTCGCATGGTTTCCAGTGGCTCTCTAACTGATGTCAGCTCATGATGAAATCCTGTAACCAATCAAATCCCTACAAACGAACACTTGAAATATATATAGTAGAACAAATCAGTGGATTAATTTCATTGACAGTTATTGAATTTATTGTTTATAATTATATCAATCGCAAATATACAACTTTGAAACTCGATTTATATAATTCCTTGTCCTTTTATCCTATTTGTTGTAAGGGCGGTAGAAATTTGCAAACGTTCAGAATAAGTGTTGGGTTATTCCTATTTCACATATTTTCAGTTAATTCGACAAATAAAGCTTCAGTTGTCATTGTCTTTCTCCACCATCCCCTCTCACCACACTAGTAAATTACAGAGAGCAGGTGTTTGGAGCAGAATACAACCGGCAACTATTATACACCGTCAAGTCCATATTAGACTTAGGCGTTACACACAAGCCAATCTATGTAAGGACTTTGACTCTCTGCTCTCCTGACCTGTGACGGGGCGTTTTCGATCGAAGTTGGCTGACCAATATCTGAAAGGGGTGATTGAGATTCCAAGGGATGTCATTAGGTAGAAAGTTATCCCGATGTACAATAAAAATTACCCTGAAAAGTAAACTTTATGAAGAAAGATTGTCAGACGACAGCCACAACTGTTTATTAATTGACATAACACACTAACATGAAGCTTGTTGTTTCAGCCGAAGTAGATATATGGTGAGAGCTGTCTGCTAACCGAAATTGGTAGATAGCAATTTACGTCAATGTTTACTTCGCAAATCTTGGTCATGAGAAAAACAAGAACGAGGACTTTATGTGGGCGGATACGATTAGCAGATATATGGTCTGACCTTCAAAGAAATGACTAGAAAGAGATGACAGGATAACTTTCAGTGAGAACACGACCAATCGGAAGACGTTGTTTCTCTGTTAATAATAACGAATAATAATGTACATATAAATCCATAAATACCTGTTGATTTTCATAATAAACTATCTGTTGCCTGACCCTTGTCTTCTGTCATTACAGATAGACTATATGCAGTGCTCATTGATAGGAAGATCAGTCAGCTAATAACACTAACGACCGTAAAGTAGCTCCGTCCAGTGTTATCGGCGTGTATAGTCGTAACACTGGTAGCACGGGAAGTGTTGAAACCTCACCAAAGTATGATGCTTTTTTAGATATCGGATAAATGACAAAGATACGTAGAGCAAAGCAGTCATTACTGACTGTGTTGCTCACAAGACACTGTTCAAACTGTCACTGTCTTTGCTACACTTACAATTCGTATTACTAACTAGGAACGCACAAGAACTGACTTACTTGGTTGTATACCCTGGCACTGTTCTTCAACCAATTGTTTATTTGAATCTGTATATCGATGACGAAACAGATTTCTGTGAATGGTAAAGCATAACAGAAATACTCAATTCATATGAACTGTGATCAAGATTTGACCGGATAGTTGCAAAATAATTGAGCGCCGAGTGAGAGGCAGACATTTATAAAATTATATTTGTAAAATCTCAGCGAAATTGAAATGATTAATTCTAATGTTTCGTTCGCCAATCTCGTCCGAACTTCTTCAGGGAAATTAATCGAAATTAACATAACAAAGGTTTATGTATAAAAGGAACATCTCTTGTTTTTGAAACTTTGTCCAGTCATGAGCCATGCAACAGGTATCAACATGTATAATAAACAAAACTGAATGTTGAATTGGTGGATGGTGACTAGCAGTGGAATCCAGGACGCGTGTTTCGTCCTACCTGGGACTCGTCATCTGGATGTACCTGCATTTCTCAGTGAGTGATGATGTACCCATTGAGGCTCGAACCCAGTGTCCATAGTTTCCAAAGCCAAAGCGTTATCTACCAGACCACTTGGGCTACGAGAGCCACCTCTTGTGCAACGGGTCATATTAATTATTTCACTGAATTTTTTATTTTTGTGGAAACATCATCACTCACTGAGAAATGCAGGTATATCCAGCCGACGAGTCCCAAATAGGACGAAACGCGCATCCTGGGTTCCACTGCCAGTCACTATCCACCAATTAAATACTAATTAAGTGCCCAGACATGGTCGAATCATCTGCACAAGAAACCGACATGTCAACCTGAGACCGAGCACTTCGGTTCAATCAATCGACGGGAAAATAAAAAATTCAATGAAAAAATTGTATGTTTATATATAAAAGGACATCTCTTGTTTTTAAATCGTTTGTCCAATAATATGAATCATGAAACAGGTATTAACAGGTATAATAAACAAAAATTGTATGAACTGTGATCAAAATTTGACCTCAGACTTACAAAATTAGTCTACTTTTGTTAAGAAAATACATGTGCATATGCAGTATACAATGGTGTGTGTGTGTGTGTGGGTGAACAGTCATAAAACATTTTTTAGTCTCTCCATAAGAAGACGTAGACAACTGAGAAATTCGACCAAGTATGACTAATTGTTGACACATATCCAATTGTATTTATTAGTCAGGGGCTGCCATGCACCAGCTAACATCATGCCTTTACGTCTGTTCAAACTGTTGGAATTCACCCATATATGTAGGGCTTCTTCCACAGTCAGTCTTTCTTTATATTTATTCAAATTATGTGTGTTATAGAGGAGAGGAAAAAAACTACTTACCTTCCCACTGTTCTTGTTTTTCTGAAGCATTTAGTATGTTTGTTACTGTAAGTAGTTACTGCTAGAATAACATTATCCTTTTCGTCTCCACTACTGGTTTCTCTGAAATCCTCAACCTCTGTGTTTACTGGCATACATTTATCATCTTGAATATTCTTTCTCACAGGCTGTAAAGCACATATTTGAGGGCAATAATATTCACTATATCATAGTTAATGATGAAGGTATAAATAAAAAAATTTCAACCCCATTAAAATGTTGGGAACAATGTCAAGAAAAACCGTTAGGTGTGCCACGAAAGCACATAGATGTAAGTAGATACTGAGAAGCCAAGTGCTATTTTACAAATGAAATGAGGATAAAGCATGAATATGTGTGTGTCAATCACTGGATTCACTTATCGGCTATATCCAGGCGGTTGCACCGTAGGCCTACGGCTAGCAAACAAGTGTCTTCAGACACAACTAATGATTTGATGCTACACCTTGATTAAAAAAAAACTACAATTTCAGTAATAACAGAGGTGATATGTGCATCAAGAATGCTCGCCAGCCACCCGATAGGCCGTAAATCACGCCATGTTTACAAGGCAGCAGAACGCCAGGAAGAGAGAGAAGATTGACATTGAGACAAAATAACCTGACCTCCAAAAACAACATAATGGCCACCGAAACTTACAATCGGAACGCAAAGAAGTGAGACACAGAGAGGGGAATAACCAGTTCACTCTAAATGTGACGCAAATGTCACGTGGAAGCCGTTTACTCAAAGAAAAAGAGGCATATTGCAAACTGTTACCATTATGTCAGACAACGGACGAAACAACAAACAATGATCTCTTTACAACCAAACATTCAAAGATCCACTGAGAAGATAATATTTCCTTATACACAGATAAACATTCTTCTAACGCTCAAACACTCGTAAAAGACATGGAAGCAAAGGTTTCATAGTGTGAAATTCAATCTGTGGATCGTAACGTCCGAATGTCGAAACATGTGTGGTAATGAAATGCATCTCTGTAATCCTACTAGTTATTTATGCGTATATGGTAGTGTCTATTTTCCCATATGTGTGAAATATGATGTTGGCCAATTTCCTTGTCACATTTCAATATGTCTGAATTATCGATTGAATGGTGACACATATTTCAGTTGCAATCTATGTTCTTCCTGTATCATTGTGGAATGCGGCTTCTGACTGTCGCTGACTGTGGAAACTAACTCTCCACAGAGATCATGCATACTGCAACGCCAATTCGCGTCGAAATACTTAGACTAATCACACGATTTTCGAAACAGCAATTTAGTGTAGTGTCATTTATGTGCAAAATTATAAGTGTGACTATCTGCTGAAAGGTAAATTCAGCTCTGGATTTCTACAAATTAATATCAGCAGTCTTATTTCCATTGTAAGTGACACACCTCAAGGTAGGATCCATGTGCTGGAACTTTACTCATTCGCGATTGCTTGTCTAGTCAGCATTTAGCTCAACAAAAAGGACCGACATAAAAATGAAACAATCGACTCACTTTTGTTGGTATGCCTTCTTTTAGAAAATGCTTGAATGGATATTTTATACGGACATCCATTTCTTTTGTAGGCATTGTTTTACTATCACGAAAAAGTGAAAAGTAGGAAGAAGGAATACATTCACTCATAATGGAGATCTTTCAGTTTACATGGGAAAATAATGTTTCAGTATGTGTTGCTTCAACTCATCATTATAAAGCAACAATCCAAGGGTATGTTCAGAATAACAAGTGAGACATTCTCTACTCATCTCATGGTTGTACTAAAGATCGAGAATTTTTTATTTCTGTATTTCAGCTAATTTCATGGTAAAACATCATCCAGGCATTAATGAAAACAAAACAAGTAGTTCAGTGAAGAGTCAATTTCAGCGGAGAATTCATTTTCTCAGCTGTACAATCGCAAATATATATGTGTTATTTTTTATATATGTGTATGCACATTAAGTTTGTCAAACAAAAGTACAATTGGTTATGGTTATTGTAAATAAACAGGTGAAGATTGGTAGTCGGAGTTAGGTAATACAAAATCGGTCAAGAAAATTGGGTGTTAATGAAATTAGGGTAGTAACGAAGGTGATGAGTTGTCAGTTTTTAAAAAAGAAGTTATGCAATAATAATATGAATAGCTTGATGATTGACTTTTACTCAGGATACACACATAGGAACAAAGTAGCGAATACGAAATTACGTAAGAGTTCTAAGTGAATACAAGAATTATAAGCCATTAAAGAACAGACAAACGACGTTCTAGAAACAGAATTAGATATTTTGAGAGAAATCTTCATCCAAAATGGATACTTAATAAGATTCATTGACAAAAATACTAAACCAATAATTTGGAGAAATGAAACTTCACCTGCGCCTAAAAAGAAACTCTACATGAACTTGGATTTCAAGGAAGATTTAACAAGCGACATTCTCGAGAAAAGGAGCACATCATCTTTGTGAAGAACATTCTTTGCATCAACGCTAAGAATAGTCTTCTCGAGTCGCCCACTGATCTGCAGAAGCCTCAAGGATAAGATCCTGCATCTGACCACTTCTATGTGCATATATCAGTTTACCTGCTGCTGTGGAGCCAGCCAAGTACATCGGTCGTTCGACGCGCACTCTGTCCAAGAGGATTCAAGAACACTATCCAGCATGGTTGAAAAAAGGCAATAGTGGTACGCAATAAGGAGTGAGATAATTGAACACCTGATTAACACGGATCATTCCATCTCACCAAACACCTCCTGCTTCAAAGTGATCTACAGAGTCAAGAATAACCTACCAAAAACAATACGGTTTCGTCTTCTTTGTAGTGCTGAAGCTCTGGTCATTCACATAGAAAAACCACAGCTGTGCATACAAAAGAGAATTACTCAACCACTTCTACTGTCGTGGTAACAACTCTGTTGACTTTTGGTGACTTAACTTTGTTTGTTTGCCTGTTCGTTAATTGCTTATAATTCTTAGAACTCATACGTGATTTCGCATTCTCTACCTTGTTCCTATGTGTATCCTGAGTAAAACTCAATCACCAAACCATTCATATTATTACATAACGTCTTTTTTAAAAACTGTGACAACTCATCACCTTTGTTACTACCCTAATTTCACTAACACCTAATTCTCTTGACAGATTTTGTATTGCGTAACTCCGACTACCAATCTTCACCTTCTTAGTTAAAATAACCCTAACCAACTGTATTTTTGTTTGACAAACTTAATGTACACATACATAGAAAATAATATATATACATATGTATATATATATATATATATTTGCGATTGTACAGCTGAGAAAATGAATTCGCCACCGAAAAGTGACTCTTCGCTGAACTACTTGTTTTGTTTTCATTATTTCACATTTTTGCAAAGTTGAAATATATTTGTAATTTAATGCGCTATCAGGTCAGTAACGATTCTGAAATATTGTTAATTTGTTTTGACGTACTTATTGTATGAAATAAACTTCTTCAAGACTAAATCTGAGGTTGACAGGGCAAATTTAAAGTTACATAGCGAAAACCACAGTAATTTATACGCAGATGACTTAAAAATCTGGAGAGAATTGAAGGGCGATAAAGATGCGCTCACATCGTATAGGAACTCAATAAATTGTCAGCGTGGTCCAAGGAATGGATACACCCGATCAATGTAGCGAAATGTACAACCATGCACATCGGACATGCAAACATCAGCCCCCACGAACTAGAGGGAATAACACTCACATCAGTTCAGACTCATTTGGATTTAGGTGTCACAGTAATTCACGATTCAAAAACTTAAGCATACTGCCGCAAGTTGGCTGCATGTAGTTTCAAATCCTTATGGGCAATTCGCAGAGCCCTTACTAGAATCACCAGAGATATGTTCATCTCCTTATGTACATCTCTGTTGAGTTCAAGACTGGAAAACTGTAGCCAGGAAGCGAGTCCTTGTGTTAAAGGGGACTCAAATTTCTAGACAGGGTCCAAAGGAAGATCACATGATTCTAGGCATGACTAATTGACCACACGAGGAAAGACTAGGCAATTTAACTCTCTTCTCCCTGTCATACCATAGGCAGAGAGATTTAATTACAATGTTTAAAATTTTAAATAATGACTACGGACCTGACCTATTCTCTCTTTTCCTTCCCACCAGGTTGGAACATCCTAGAGGACATAGCAAGAGAGTTCGAACGCCAAGACGAAATCATATTGCTGCTGAGTACCGGCTCTCACACCAAGTCATAAACTATTGGAACTGACTTTCGAAAAATTGGTGTCTGTAACCCCAACCGATTGATTCAAGAACGGTTTGGACAAGCACAAAAATTTACTGGCAAAGGAATAACATAAGCTCCAAGCCATCTATCCTCAACCGATAAATCTGAAGTCTGACCTTGAACGAACAGTCCTATAACTATTGAAAATGCACTAAAAACATTGCGAACATGATAGAACACTATAAAGTCGTCGATTATAAGTTGTAATAATGTCCACCAGTCACTACACACATCATCCATACAGAAATCACACTATGCACCATTGATACATTCAGGCAGGGGACTGTATGTTACGGAACTTTGAGATCTATTGATATTTCTAACACTGTTCTTTAACCAACTCCTAACTACAACCATAAGCCTGACTCCCAATTCTAACTTTAACCTTAATCCTAACCGTAACCCTAGACCCTAAGGTTTAATCTTAATAACCACAACCTTACCTAACAGTATAGACTTACAGAAAAAGTAACTAGATAATAAGTGGAATTCTGTATCTACCTTCTCCAATCCAAAAAAGGGCATGATTTCATTTAGAACGACCTTTCACAGCATTCTCTTTATCTGATAGGTTCTTTAGGGTCAACTTTTGAAAGACCTTGGCTTTGGCTGTAATAATAAAACTTCGCTTGTTTTCTATTCAAAGTAAAATAACCTGTGATCCCTACAATACATAAAAGGCAAAGTACGTAGAGCCTGCTGGAACAAACATCCGGATTATTTCGACTAAAGTGAGGTGAACAAGACGTTGGAGATATGCAGCCTAGATTCCTCACCAACAATAATTATTCCTCTGGTGCAGTCTATCTTTGTAAGAGATATTAAAAGTTTAAAAATTAGAATTCAAATTTCCTGGTATCCCACGTTCACTGAGTCAAATTTCGCTTTCAGATAGTCACCTTTATTATTCCACTTATCTCAACCTATATTATCTACACTACAACCTATTATTATTACTATTCTGCTTTTATGACTACACCGAATGACCAAGGGGAGTTAGGTCAAACTCCATTCACGGCAGCAATACAGTCCTAACATACTGCATACTACAAACCACATCTCGACCAATCCCCGCACCACTCCTCCTGGAGTCTACCAGAGCTAAAGCAGTCGAGTGTCGGGACTTACTACGCAGAAGCTCACCGAAGATCTGGAACCTCTACCTCACAATCAAGAAGCGAGCTCAAAGAAATCACTGGTTTATACTAGCTCGTAATCAGGATATTGGATATATTGGAAGCTTCTTTAATTTGGGCTGTATACATACCCAAATCCAGGAGCCTCTGGTAGAGATTAATTATCTATTTCTGAAAACTTGTTTTGCATGCATGAATAACATTACTTTTGTGTAGTGAATATATATGTCTTGAGTTCACGGAATCCTCATGCTATGACAGGCTATTATTTGTAATTTAAGTTTTTAGGGAGTCCTTATGACTGAAATTATTCTTTGTTGCAACAAAGATAACCATATAGTTATCATGCAAGATTGGATTCATGGAATATGAAGGAAGTGGGCTAGTTTACGTATAATATAAATCGAAAAATGATAAGTGACTATCTGAAAGCGAAATTTGACTCAGTGAACGTGGGATACCAGGAAATTTGAATTCTAATTTTTAAACTTTTAATATCTCTTACAAAGATAGACTGCACCAGAGGAATAATTATTGTTGGTGAGGAATCTAGGCTGCATATCTCCAACGTCTTGTTCACCTCACTTTAGTCGAAATAATCCGGATGTTTGTTCCAGCAGGCTCTACGTACTTTGCCTTTTATGTATTGTAGGGATCACAGGTTATTTTACTTTGAATAGAAAACAAGCGAAGTTTTATTATTACAGCCAAAGCCAAGGTCTTTCAAAAGTTGACCCTAAAGAACCTATCAGATAAAGAGAATGCTGTGAAAGGTCGTTCTAAATGAAATCATGCCCTTTTTTGGATTGGAGAAGGTAGATACAGAATTCCACTTATTATCTAGTTACTTTTTCTGTAAGTCTATACTGTTAGGTAAGGTTGTGGTTATTAAGATTAAACCTTAGGGTCTAGGGTTACGGTTAGGATTAAGGTTAAAGTTAGAATTGGGAGTCAGGCTTATGGTTGTAGTTAGGAGTTGGTTAAAGAACAGTGTTAGAAATATCAATAGATCTCAAAGTTCCGTAACATACAGTCCCCTGCCTGAATGTATCAATGGTGCATAGTGTGATTTCTGTATGGATGATGTGTGTAGTGACTGGTGGACATTATTACAACTTATAATCGACGACTTTATAGTGTTCTATCATGTTCGCAATGTTTTTAGTGCATTTTCAATAGTTATAGGACTGTTCGTTCAAGGTCAGACTTCAGATTTATCGGTTGAGGATAGATGGCTTGGAGCTTATGTTATTCCTTTGCCAGTAAATTTTTGTGCTTGTCCAAACCGTTCTTGAATCAATCGGTTGGGGTTACAGACACCAATTTTTCGAAAGTCAGTTCCAATAGTTTATGACTTGGTGTGAGAGCCGGTACTCAGCAGCAATATGATTTCGTCTTGGCGTTCGAACTCTCTTGCTATGTCCTCTAGGATGTTCCAACCTGGTGGGAAGGAAAAGAGAGAATAGGTCAGGTCCGTAGTCATTATTTAAAATTTTAAACATTGTAATTAAATCTCTCTGCCTATGGTATGACAGGGAGAAGAGAGTTAAATTGCCTAGTCTTTCCTCGTGTGGTCAATTAGTCATGCCTAGAATCATGTGATCTTCCTTTGGACCCTGTCTAGAAATTTGAGTCCCCTTTAACACAAGGACTCGCTTC